GGGTGTGTTAGAGCAAAACAGCCATAACTTGCAGGCAGCCTTGCTCTCCAGATTAAACAGGTGCATAATCCCTCTTTAGCCAAGCTAAAGAGGCCGCAGCAGCTGGGGGCTCCCCATCTCTGTGGGCTCCTGCAGGGGCACTTGCCTCCTGTCTCTGGTGCTCCCCAAATGCTCCTCTGTGCAGGTCCTCCCTGGCACCCCCAGTTGTCCTGGGCCACTGCAAACACCACACTCCCTCACCACACTGAGCAAACTCACTTTGGTTGTGAGAGCCTGAGGTTAAAATAAAAAGCACTTCCCTGTTGGCACTGCTTTGGCTGCATGCACGTGATTTCATGGGGGAATGTGTTAAGCCCAGTGGGAGCCGGGCTGGGACAGGTGCGTGGAGCCATCTAGGTGAGCTCTCCCTCCACCCCCTCCCCTCCGAGGTGGCTCCCGGGTGAGGGAATGTTCCTGCATCTCCGCAGGGACCATCTGGTGGAAAACCAGCCCAGCCCCACCCATGAGGGGCAAGGGTGAGGCCTTGAAGGCCTTCTGCCCTGGTGTGGGCTGGGCGGCTCTCCTGGCCGACTGCGTGTTCTTTGCCAGCCTCTCTCTTCCGGAAGTTTCACAATCATGCTCTAATGGAAACAGCATGGTTAGAGAGGCTGGTGGCCCCTGGGATGTGGCCGAGCAGTGATGGATGGGCCTGAGGATGGAGCGGTGGCCCACGTGGTCGCATCTCCTGCTTGGCTCCAAAACGGAGCTGTTAGTACAGCCTGACTCGGATCATTTATCTCCAAGTCCAGGGGGATTTTTAAACAGCTGTGGAGCTGACCTTTTCCAGAGGGATCATGGTTCTGGCTTGTGGTAAGAAAAACACATACTGCCTGCACCCCAAAACCCAGACCTGGATTCCTGGAGCACCAGGCCTGCCATGCACCCCAGGATGCTCCCATTCTGAACCTCCTGCCCAGTGTCTGTGCCATTCAAGCAGGTGCAGGGCTCAAACTCGGCACACATGGAGGTAGAAGGCATTTTTCTCTTTCCCTCCTCGCCACTGCCTCATTTCTGTTAATCACCCAGGGGAGTAGGGCTTGGCAGCAACACCTGGGCCTATCCACACCATCCCACTGGCCAGGCAGCATTTTTCTTTCCACAGATGCAAAATCATTTTCTGTTCTTTCCCTGCCCCATCCGTGTCCCACGTCCCTATCTCACCTCCCGCTTCCTCCCCTGCCTTATTTTCTGCTTTCCATCCCGGGAGGTCTTGTTCCTGGGATGGCAGGAGTCCATCTAGGGTAGGTGCCCAGTCCCCAGTGCTGGCCTGAAGAAGACAAGTGCAGAGTGCACCGGCTGTGAGAGCAGCCCCCGTACCTGTCCCTCTGCAGCGAGCAGGGGCACGTGGTGGCCTTCTCCTTGGTGTCCTTCTGTGACCTGCTGGAAGCCCAGCATGACCCTCAAGCACCTCATGGAGAGAGTTGGGGGGAGGAGAGGCTGGGTAGGAGCAGGGACAGGGTCTGGCACTGCAGAGAGGGTGGGAGGTGGGCTTTGCTCACTCCGGCTGGGAGGCCTTGGGTTCCCAGAGGAACCTGAGTGGGGCCAGGGTGGGCACAAAGTTCATAGTGAGGGAGACACAGATACAGGTGCCAATAGATGGCAACAAAACAAAGATACTCAGAGGAGGAGAGAGTCCAAGTACATGAACATCAACGCATCAGTAGGTGATCACCACTGAGCCACAATGGCCAGAGGGGAGCTGAGAGGGAAGCGGGAGAGCAGAGACATGGGGACGGGGTGGGAGCCGCAGAGAGACTCAGTGGGAGGGAGGAAGAGGGCAGAGGCTCCAGGGCCCCACACCCCCTGCCCGGCACCCCAGAGCCAACCTCGCCACTGCCTGATGGGCTGGAATCTGGGGAGGGACCTGGAGGCTAGGAACCCCCCAACACACACACACACACACACATACACACACACACCCCAACTTCCAGAAATGCCAACGCAAGTTGGAGCCAAGGGAACAATGCCTTCCCCATCCACCCTGCCCACCTCAGGGCCCGCCTGCAGAGAGGGGGCTCTTGGAGCTCGTGTGGCCACCTGGGCCTCCCAAGCAATTGTGTCCAAGTGAGCAGGAAGATTCTAGAGTTCAGTAAATTCAGTTAAGGGCTCCCAGCATGCAGACCTTGGCCTTCAGAAGATTCCTTGCTCTTCCTGCTGGGTCTGGATCCAGGTTGGGGGCACAGGGACCTCTGGTGGACAGAGGACCTCAGGAAATCAGGACTGGCCTGGGGTTGTCCCAGCTGTGTCTGTGAAACTGGAGTGGTTTACCCCAGTAGGAGTTATGGAACCCAGTTGGGGATTCACTTCTGCATTGGCTTCCAAGCTGTCTCTACAAGGAGAAAATTTCAATATTTCAATCTTGGGCCTGTCAGCCCAGGTGTGATCTCCAAGGACAGCATAAGCAGGCTTCTTGGGGACACAGTACCCCTTGCTGGGACTTCCCCAGTCACCTCCTCAACTGAGTAACAGCCCTGGTGGGGCCCAGCTGTTCCCCTCCCCTCGGCCTCCATCTCCATTCTTTCTCTGCCCCCTTCTTGTCCCATGTCCCTGTGTCCCCTCCCTCTTCCTCCCTGCCTGTTTTTCTGCGTTTCTTCCCTGGGATGCCTTGCTCACGGGAGGGCAGGATTCGGATCTGGGGTAGGTGCCCAGCCCTCAGTGCTGGCCTGAAGGAGACAAGTACAGAGCCCGCAGGGTGTGGATGTGCAAAGAGAGGACCCAGAACTTACCTCCTTGCACATTTACACACACACACACTTATAATCACTGTGCAATCATAATCACATTACAGAACATTTAGAAAAAAAGAGGAAAAAAATCTCCCCATCTCACCTAACAGAGCTGCTGCAACTATTTCCCTTTTCATATACAAATGCAATTTTAAACACAGTAGGAGTTTTATTCTCTATAAAATTGTGTGCCTTGTTTGTCTCTCTTAGTATGAAAATAAGACTTCATAAGAATTTTAGATGTGGTTTATAGTCTTAACAGTTATCATTTAAAATGAGAGATTGATATTCTAGGAAATCAATGTGCCCTTGATAATAGTCCCCCATTTTGTTTTGGACATTTAGGTGATTGCTGTTTTGTTGTTGTTGTTGTTGTTGTCGTTGTTGTTGTTTTGCTGGCCCACACGGTTCTGCATTGGAGCTTCTATCATATTTCAAATCTGTCTCTGGGACAGATGAACTGCAAGTTTCTTGAGTCCTAACATGAGGCCAGCGCCACCAATGGGGACCTCCATCTTTCAGCCCTCTGCCATCAGCCACAAGGGAAAGTGGTCCAGACAGTGTGGGTGGAGCAGTGTCGATCCACCCATTGCTGGGTCAGCTCAGCCCCTTCCTAGATGAAGGATGCCACAGTCATTATGTTGTTGTAGCTTCTAAGTCATTGGGTTAACCGCGGAAGTAAAGCAAGTAATAGGCAAACCATTCTCAGTTGGCTGAGCTTTGGTGATGTGGCCTCAGCTGGGGCTACTGAGATGGTTTTTAGGGGACATTTGTGGGGCTTTTTCAGTTATTTATTTACATTTTATTTTAGATTCCAGGGTACATGTTACGTGGGTATACTGTGCAATGCTGAGGTTTGAGCTTCTAATGATCTTGTTGCCCAAGAAGTCAACATAGTACCTGACAAGTATATTTTCAACCCTTGTCCCCCTCCCTCCATCCAAGGCTTCTGAAATGCACCAGGTGCCTCTCCAGGTGAACCACCTGCCTACTTTTCCCCCAGTTCTTAAACAGCAAGCAAAATTACAATGACAAAGGTACAAGCACAACATCTAACCCTTCCTTGAGTCTCATACTTTGTATGGCTCCTGTACTTATGCAAGTTAATAAATTTGCATGCCTTTTTTTCCCCTGTTAATCTGCCTATTGTCAGTACATTTCAGTGACTTGAATCTTCAGAGGGAGAAGTGGCAAGAATTTATTACTCCTCGTTTGCCTGGTACTCTAGGATCCCACATAAATATTCTGATGGGGCTCAGAAAACAATACCCCAAACTGTGGTGCTTTGGGCTACAGAGCCCTTTGAACTAAGGGAAATCAAAAGGCCTTAGACTCAAACCTCAGAGCCAAGGATTTTCTAACCTTCCTCCCCTAAGCATAGGGAGGGGACTCTCTCTCTCTCTGGAAGTTCCCTTATCTGAATGAGAAAATCTTCTTCCAAAAGAAATACAATTGTCTCAAAATCCCCTCCCTAGAAATCTCATCAAATAACCAGGAAAGAGTGACCACAAGAGAAAATACCTAAAGTCATCACACCCAGATAGATATTTCATCTGTTCTTCTGAGGGAAACTCCTGGAAGACTTCATCTGCATAATAAGACAACTTCTGTTCACAGTGCACTTCTGCCCCTCACCTTCCCACCACCTCCCCAGAGCTCAGAGGAACACTGTCCCAGGCCATTGTCTGCTCTTTGGGCTCATTCAATTCCCTTACAAATCATTTACTATTCCTCAAAATTGCCTACATGCCCTTTCTTCCCTCTTCCCTATGAAGAGGGTAGTTAAGCCTCAACCATCTGACCCTTCCCTCGAGACTCATATTTTGTACAGCTCCTGTGCTTCTGCACATTAATAAATATGTATGCCTTTTTTCTGTTAATCTGTCTATTGTCTGTTTATTTTAGTAGATTAAACCTTCAGAGGGGAGGGAAAATTCTCTTTACTCCTACAGTTCCCACCAGCAGCAGTGAGGGCACAGGGTCAGGTATGGGTGCTGGTTGTGCTGTGTGCCCCACTGTTAAGGCATTTCTCAGCTCCACATCTTTCACTTTAATTGAATTAAAACCCATAAGGAGATGTAACTCCAAGCAATGTTTGCCAATGTGGAACATTTGAAAATGACACAACAATCTAACAACAGAGGACACCCTGTGTCAAAATAATAGCATAGAAACATTTTACTGATGTAACATGCTATTTGTAATGCCTATTTGTGGGGAAAGCATAATCTGATTTTTAAATGAAAAATTACACACATACACATACACACACAAGCCTGGAAAACTAAAAATATACAATTAAATGTTAACAGTGTTTTTTTCTGGATGGTGAAGGGATGGCTAATGGGTGAGCTTTTTTGTTCTCTTTTTGCTTAACTGTATTTTCTACTTCACTATAATTAGCCTATATTTGTTGTATAATTGTTTAAAAGATGTTCTTTACAGTACAATAATATCCTTCATCTACATTTTTTCACTCTCTTTCATTAATACGATTGTATTTGATACCACAGTAACACAGGAATAAGGCCAGAACAGTATATATTCTTGTGCTTTATTTTGTAGATGATGAAAAGGAGGCTCAGGGAGTTGTCATGCCTGCCTATGGTCACCCAGCCTGTGGCTGGAGGAGCTGAAGTCAGGCCAGGACTACTGATGCCTGGTTCAGGACTTGCCATGGCACCACGCCCCTTAGGGTGGAATTCTCACCCTCCAGACCCTCAGCTCACTGGCTCCAACAGCCATCCCTTAGACAAATTCCACTTGAAAGAAACAGCAGTTTCCTAATTTCTCTAATATTGACAAGACATCTGAAAATACACCTGACTGTTTCACTGCCCTGCCTAGAACTTTCAGGGGCTCCTCCCGACTCCAGGGCAGGGGTTCTCAACTTTGGACATTCCAAGCTGGATAATTCTTTGTTGTTGGGGGCAGTCCTGTGCATTGTAAGACGTTTAGCAAGGTCTCTGGCCTCTTTCCACTAGATGCCTTGGTCCTTACCTACACACCCAATTGCATCAGCCAAAAGTGTCTGATGCATTTTCTGATGCAATGTCTCTAGACAAAATCTCACCATATTGGAACCAGCCAAAACTCTTGGGGCTTCCATCCTAGCCTGTGGTTACTCCCACAGCATCTTCCCCAGGCCTGTCTCACATCTGTTTGCTATATTTCTCCTTGACCCTCCAGCCCCTGTGCCAGCACTTCACAAAGTGTGTGGAAATCACCCAATATCTTCTCTGTCTCCTCAACAGAGTGTGAGTTCTTGAGAGCAGGGACTGTGTAATTCTCAGCTTCGAATCCCTCATGGCCTGGTCAGGGGACACTGTATCTACTGTAAATCCTTCACAGATACCTGGGCTGGAAGGAAGGAGCAAAGAAGGAAAGGAAAGAGGGAAGGAGAGACAGTTACTTAATATGGTACAGTAATTTAAGGATATTTTCATGATCTAGTGATCTAGTTTCATATATTTCTTTTGAAAGGTGTGTTTATGCATGGCCAAGTCTTTTTTCCTTTGAATTACAAGGGGTCTATTAAAGGGAGCCACAGCCAGATTTGTCTCCACCAACCAGGGAAATGAAGAAAGTGGATGATCCTGTAGCAGCAGCAGCAGCAACAGCAGGGGACATGGCAATGTAACAGTTAATAACAGTGTACTTCCCAGGCCCCTCCCTCTTTGAGCCTGTTTCCAAACTTTAAAATGAGAATTTAAAAAAAATGCCCATTTTCGAGTTATTAAACTGGCACATGTGGCTCACCCAGGACAGTCCTGGGTATGTAAAACGTTCAGCCCAGGTTAATTGAATCCAAGTCAAAATCTGAACACTAACGCCTGTCCAGCAGCCCTGAAAATCGGGCCACCATCTAACCAGCTAACCAGCCACTGAGGGATTGCATTTCTGCATTTCTCTACCCAAAGGCAGAAGCAAAGGAGGCAAATACATCCAGCGTCCTTCCAGAAAGGAGCTGCCAGGTCCTATTCTCTTATTGCTTTATTTTGCTACAACCCTTAGTGGCTGCTTTTCTTGAATTGACATCTTTAATATCTCAGGGGTGTTTCGTTATTTTCTACCTGTTTCTTCCCTTGGTTATTCTTTGGTTCATTCAGGGCTTTCTCCCAGGTGACCGGATCCTTCCTGTCCCGGGGTGTGTTGGGTTGACTTGGACCATGGGGTGGCTGAAGCTACGTGTCAGGAACAAGATCTCCCACAGTGGCACCACATAGGTGGCATTTCGTTTTGGAAGCCACTGCTCCTCCTCTGATTCTGGGGTTTGGTTCTGAGGAAGCGGCAGTAATGGTAGCAGCCACAGAAGCCCCTCCGTCCAGCGGGGCGTCAGTGATACCTCTGGGTTCCTTTCTCTCCGGGAATGCTGCCGCTGCTGCTGCCATGGGTCTGAAATCACCAACGTGGAGTCCAAAGACATAAACATGAAATTTCCTGACTGTAACACTGCAGGATGCTCTTAAGGAGACTAGCCCAGAAAAAAATATACAAGGTTTCAGCGTCTGAAAAAGCTGTGCTTCCTCTGAATGAGGGGTTTGTTTTTGTCCTGTGGACAGGAAGGCTCTGGCAACTATTTTCCTCATTGCTTATGCTGCTAGGTAACTTAGAGTCAAAATCGAGTGCCGCTTCTCTGCACGTGAGCCATACCATTGGGTATGCATTCCTGTGAGGTCATCTAACCATTATTTTCCTATTCATGTTTCGCTTCCATTTCTCAATGTTTTTGTTGTTATTATTCTGAACAAAATCTGCTTATGTGAAGTTCACAGAATCGTTTCTCAACAATCAGCAACCTGGGAAATGAGCATCCCTCTGCCCCATTGTCTCGACGCCATAGTTGAAGGTTGCAGGATTCAGCAGCCCCAACAGCTAGGATTGCTTGTGCTGTGTTTTCTATGTTCGTTTAAAATCCTGCCTGTGGTTTATTTTCTTTCAGTCCCAAGTGAGGCTGTGCTAGTTTTCATAGCACTTTACAGGGCTCAACACCAGGTGGTAAAGAATTCAAGTGGATCCACGGGTCAGGTACATTTCTGTTAAGACAAATGGTTTTTAAACGAAATTATGTGAGTCTTCTCATAGCCCTTACTTAAGGCCCTCCCTCCCTTTCCTCCTTCCTTCCTTCCCTTCTTCCTTCCTTCCTTTCCTTCCATCCCCTGCTAATTTTGGGGCAGAGAAGAACTGAGATCCCACTAATAATGAGCAGTTGTTGAAATTCTGGGAAACGCTGGGGATTGCACACTGCTTTATCTTCTAGAAGCCCCCAGGAGCCTGCTTGTATTCATTCTCATTTCCTGTTCTTACCCTATTTTTGGCATCTTCCTCTTTTTGCTTCTGAGACCCTCCTTCTCTGGTTTGGGGTTACCTTTGGGGCTCCCAGACCTTGACCATACTCTAGCCTTGGTACTTCCCAGGACTGAACTCCACTGTTCTTCCCTACCTGGGCCGCTTCAATTGTCACTACCCTTATGCAAATCAGCCTAACAAAGATGGTTCTCGGTGTTACATTTGCCCACTTTTTTTCCTAATGGTGGCCTGATTACTCTAGGTTCCTCTCTGCTGTTGTCCCTCTGGCTACCACAGACTCTAAACACTCTCCATTCATTGATGCCATAAGTGATTAATCTCTGGCTCATTTCCTCCCATCTCCCTCCGAGTGTGTGCAGTACCCATTCATCAAGATGCCCAGATAACCAAAGCAATCCACCTTCATTCGGGCCATGCTCTGGGCTGTGACGCCAGCCTGGCGATCTGCGGTGCTCAATGCGATTACTCTTTCTTAGTGAATCCCTGGGGCTCTTCAGCCTCCTGCAGAACCACATCACCTTGAATGGCTTTTCTATAAATGCCTCCCCTTCCTCCCCATTAAGTCCTTCTATGGATTTTAATCTTAGGCTGGCTTTAGCAATACAGACAGTCCTGACTTACATTTTTTGACATTACAATGGTGCAAAAACAATATGCATTCAGTAGAAATTGTACTTTAAATTTTGACTTTTCATCTTTTCCCAGGCTAGCAATATGTGGCACGGTACCCTCTCTTGATGCTGGGCAGTGGCGGCAAGCACAGTTCCCAGTTAGCCATGCGATCATTAGGGTAAATGACCAATACTGTGTTCTACAATGTACTGTATTCAATAAATTATAGGAGATATTCAACACTTTCTTATAAAATAAGCTTTGTGTTACATGACTTTGCCCAACTGTGGGCTAATGGAAGTGTTCTGAGCATGTTTAAGATAGGCTAGGCTAAGCTATGATGTTCAGTAGGCTAGATGTACTAAATGCATCTTCTACTTAGAGTGTTTTCAACTTGTGATGGGTTTATCATGAGGTGACCCACTGTAAGTGGAAGAGCATCTGTAGTCTTACCATGACCCTGAGAGGAATTGTTGTCATTGAAGAAGCAGGTAGACAGGATGGGCTTAAACTGTGGTTTTAGGGAGTTGAGTTGGCTATTAGAAAGAAAATTTTTCTCTGAAGCTTGGAGAAACTGAAATATACTACTAACAAGGGTGGTGGTATCTTTTTAAGAAAACTCTAGGGAAAGGGGATAAAGCAGGTCTCTTTTGAGAGACTGCCATTAGAGAATTGAGTGGCCTCTTCCCTGCCTTCCCCAATGCAAGGAAAATTCTTAGAACTGGAATAGAGCTGACAATCATCTATTTCAACCTCCCTCTCAATGCCAATCTTGGGATATCTTTACCTATCATGTATCCTTCCTAATTATTCATGTATTCACTCATTTCACAGATATGTGTGACTCAGGACACCATGTTGTCAGATCTTCACTATCCTAAGCACAATGTAACAACCCATAATGGCTAAGTAATGTTCCGGTAACATGGAGGAATGAAAAAGTTGTGTAAATGGCATCAAGATTGTTTTAAGATTATCAAGCTAATAGAAGCAATAAACATCACCAGTTGTCTTAGGATTTATTCTGCAAGGGAGGATTTGCACTTAAAGGGACATAATCTCTTCCAACTAATACCAATTAACAATAGTAATGAAACAAACAGGCATAATTTCTACCACCAGAAAACTCTCACATGTGTAGTTTTTAAAATATACACTATGCAGTAAAAGATACGAAATCAAGTATTAGACTAGGTATGTAAAATGAGAAATATTTTTCTCTGGAGACCCAGAGAACTTGAGGTAGTCATTGTCCTCGAAGCCCTTTGCACATCAAGATATGGAAGTTCAACTGCTTCACTTGGAATTCATGTCTTCCAAAATATGGTCCCAGCTTTATCTGCTACTAAAGATCTGCATTCAACCTTTCAATGTCCTTAACACTGATATGATTATGATGTCTCACCTCTATCCTCCATAAATATAAAAGAGCATCAAAAGCACAATCAACAAAAATGACACTAGACAAATGGGACTATGTTGAACTAAATAGCTTCTGCATCTGCACAGCAAATCAACAGTGTGAAGAGACAGCCTGGTGAACTGGAGAAAATATTTGCAAACTATTAATGCGACAAAGGACTAATATCCAGAATGTACGAGGAACTCAAACAACCCAACAGTTGAAAAAAAAAAAAACCCATATAATCCCATTAAAAAGTGAGCAAAGGACATGAATAGACATTTCTCAGAAGAAGACATACAAATGGCCAACAGGTATATGAAAAATGCTGAACATCACTAATCATCAGGGAAATGCAAATTGAAATCCACAATGAGACATTTTCTTACCCCTGTTAGAATGGCTACTATTAAAAAGACAAAAACAAAACAAAACAAAACAAAAAACCCAAAAAACAGTAACAGATGCTGGCAAGGATCTGTTGGTGAGAATGTAAATTAGTACAGCTATTATGGAAAACAGTATGTAGATTTCTCAAAAAATTAACAATAGAACTACCATGTGACCCAGCAATCCCACTATGGGGTATTTATCTAAAAGAAAGAATTCAGTGCATCACAGGCATACCCGTGCTCTCAGTTTATGACAGCATTATTCACAGTAGCAAACAGAGGGGATCAACCTAAGTGTCCACCAATGGACAAATGGATTAAAACTGTGATATAAACACACAAATAGAATACTATTTGGCCATAAAAAAGGAATAAAATCATATCATTTGTAGCAACATGGATGGAACTGGAAGTCATTATGTTAAGTGAAATAAACCTGTCAGAGAAAGACAAATATTGCACGTTCTCACTCATATATGGAAGCTAAAAAAAGTTGATCTTATGGAGGTAGAGAGGAGAACGATAGATACCAGATGCTGGGAAGGTATGCTGGTGGGGAAGGGGATTAAGAGAGCTTAGTTGATGGGTACATATAGTTAGATAGGAGGAATAAGTTCTAATGTTCTATACCACAGTGGGGTGACTACAGTCGGTAACAATGTATTGTACATTTCAAAATAGCCAGAAGAGAGGACTTGAAATGTTCCCAGCACATAAAAATGATAAATACTTGAGGTAATGTCTACCCTAAATACCCTGACTTGATCATTCCACATTCCATGCATGTAACAAAATATCATGTATACTTCATAAATATGTACAAATATGTGTATCAATTGAAAAAAGGAAAAAAAAACCCCAAAATGCAAGGGAGTCCAACTGTGTTCTGATTTTGCCCATAGTGTTTTCTTGATACGTTTTTAAAACATCACGTAATATAAACAAAATATTTTGTTAAATGAGCATTGTCCCCTATAACTCTCCACTTGGTCCAGTCTGATTTCTATCCCAAGCTCAAGACTTTGTGAACTCTTGGACTTTCTTCATGCCTAGAATCTCTCTTTCTGTCTCTCTCTTTTTCTACTCTGGAAATATACCTCCTAACTTTTACTTAAGGCCTTGATCAATTTCCAGACCAGCATCCACCACCAAGACCCTTCCCCAACAAGGATGCCTCCATTGATTACTCCTACAGGGAAAGCTTTGTGATCTCCTGGAGAAAGTAGTGTACACATCTCTTAATAACACACCAATGGCTGGGCGTGGTGGCTCACGCCTGTAATCCCAGCACTTTGGGAGGCCAAGGTGGGTGGATCACCAGGTCAGGAGTTCGAGACCAGCCTGACCAACGTGGTGGAACCCCGTCTCTACTAAAAATACAAAAATTAGCTGGGCGTGGTGGTGGGCAACTGTAATCCCAGCTACTCAGGAGGCTGAGGCCAGAGAATCACTTGAACCTGGGAGGTGGAGGTTGCAGTGAGTCGAGATCATGCCATTGCACTCCAGCCTAGGCGACAGTGTGAGATTCTGTATCATAAAATAATAATAGTAATAATAATACTAATAACATACCACTTTGTGACATACCTCACGTTGTTACTTCATGCTTGAATTTCATTTCTTAAGTGTTCCTGTGCTGTTTTTCCAATGAGCCTGTGGGTTTTTGAGGGCAGGACTTAGGTCTTACGTTTCTGAGTCTCTCCTCTTGGTGCTGCCAGATACATAAACAACACTCACATTCCTACAATGCCTGTTTCTTAAGTTAGTACTTCCCAATTTGAGGAACAAAGTGATTCATGTTAGAAGAAAAAATTATCTGAATCTTTGAGATTATACCCCACTTTTGAAATACTGCACCAAAAGTTGGTGACTACTTGGGTGCCAGTGGAATGGCAAACTAAAATGCATGATCAAGTACTGATTAACATTAAAGTGAAAATACAAAAATTAAATGTCTCAAAAACTATTAGACCCTCAACAATATATTTCCAACCCTTTCTTCCAGCCTATACCTGCTCCCCACCACTCCCTTCCACTGTAATCCAACTTTGAGAGACACTGAGCTAAGTCTTGAGAGCTATTATTAAAATATCAAAATAACTCACCTGTGAATGCCTTAGTTCCAGTAATCTCATTAGATCAGTCAGCCATCCCTTAGTGGTGCACCAGGAGAGGAGACACAGGTCAGTTGCATTTTTATGGCAATGAGAGGCAGGTTGGAAAAGTCTAGAGCTTTAGATCCTGACTGCTTCTAGGACAGCTTCTGCAGGTCAAGCTTTTCTGCATCAGGTCAAGAATCACAGGAAAACCATCAAGCATGGTGGGAGTTTTGAGAAAGAGGAGGTGGTTACTGATACCAGATGCTGCAGACAAGCAACATAAACATGAGAAATTGGACGTACTCTGCAAGGCACTGCCTGTCAGGAGAGCAGCATCAAGAAAATGGGAAGAAGAAACGGAGCAAGATAGCAGCAGCAGACTTGGCATGAAGTAGGAGGTGAGAAAATAGGGATAGTGAGTAGAAGGGAAGGGCAGAAGTTGAAGAGGGACAGAGATGAAAGAAAGTCTTTGCTTATTCAGTTTTTGGGCAGGAAGATGAGCATATGTGTCACTGAAATGACTGAAGATTCTAGAGAAGTGGTGGAAGTGATGGAACAAGGGTCGCCAGGTGGGGCTGAACCAAAGGTGCAGAAGGAATTAGCCACAGGCAGGAGGAGGGAAATTCTATTAAAAGCAAACACACACACACACACACAAACACAAACAAACAAACAAACAAACAACAACAACAACAAAACAAGAGCATGGCTGGGCCCCAGGACTACCTGGACCCAGGACTTTTCTCTTCACATCTATTTCACTCCAATCTCAGCCCCCGCAGGTCCTAGTTTCTTCAGCCTGGTGGAGAAACAAGGCTGCCATCAATTCCCAAATGTTTATCTTCACAGGTACAGCCATGGGAGAAAGGCTGCACCAACCTTCTTGGCCTCAAATCAAAAATTCTAGAGAAAGGCTGTCACTAGTCCATCTTGAATATGTATTTATTTGCTTGTTTGTAGATTTTAACTGAACATTCATTACTTTCAATTTTCCAGCTTTATTTTTTCAAATAAATTTTATTGTGCATATTTGATGTTTACTACATAAGGCTGTGGGATGCATTTGATAGTAAAATCATTACTATAGTAAAGAAAAGTAACATTTCTCTCAACTTGAGTATTTTAGGAGCCCAATCATGGGTCAATGAATTCTGGCTAATTCTGGCTGTGGACAGGAGGTCCTATGTAAGCACATGTCAGCATCCATGGATGCCTCACAAATGGAGTGGAAGGAGAGGCAGTTTTCATTGAAGAGGAAGGGTATGGTCAACAGATAGGTATCCATCCACAAATTTAGTCTGGAGGTGGAGAGTTCAGGAAATCTGAGAGGTTCATATCTTAAGTATTTTTTTTGTTTGATTGGTTGGTTTTGGTTGTTGTTGCTATTGGTGAAGTTAGGATCTCCCAAGAATTAGAGGATAGATGATGATTCGGGCTACAAAAGGTTTGGAACTCTATCATATGAAATGAGAACACCAACATAAGGACTGGGCAATGTTGAGAAGCAGCAGAGGGTAGAAGGCGTAACTGTGTCACAGGATCAACCCAGACTTATTCACGTAATGAATGTTATTGATGGCTATCTCTAGTATCACCCAGCATCCTGGACATAGTAGCGTGAAAACATAGTTGGGTTGATCCAAGGTTGGAGAGTGGAAATACAGGTGTTTTGGGCATGGCAGTGGGAGCAAAGCAGCTGAGGTGGGAGGAAGGGCTGAAGTAGGGAGGATCTACCTGCAGAAGGAGACTGTGAGATGACTAGCACAGGGAAGAGGACAGAGAGCTTGGGAAGCAATCAGGAAACGGTGAAAAAAGCTGTTGTGTCTCAGTGGTGCCTCTTATGATGCCCAAGGGAGATGACCTCTCAGGCAGAATGAGCACGCCCTGGTGTGCTCAGGAAAGTTCCATGAAATTATCAATGGCACCTCTTTCTGTTATTGAGAGATGCCCAAGTTGGATGCTGAATCATGTGGTCTGTCCACCCAATGCCAGGTCTGAAGTGACCGAGGAAAATGACCTCTCGGGATGTCAACCTTGTGTGCTGCAGCCCCAGACCCACTGGCTGGAAGGAGCAACCCTGGCTTTCCACCTGCTTGTTCCTACCTTTTGTTTCTTCCAAGGGAAATGGAGACTCCTTCAAAGTCTCCAGCACCTGCAGATTTGGAGTCTGAAGAGAAAGGGTCAGAGACAGAAATAAAGCTACCCTGGCTTGGCCTGCCAGCTGACCGCAGGGAGAACCCACATACACTTGAGGCAGAAGGGAATGGCAATGGGCATGAAAATACTGCCTGTATCCAAACTGTTTCCTGAAGCCATCCGATACACCCAGAGTGCCTCAGGGCAGGAAGTCCCAGAAACCACATGCAATTTCTGACCACACACTTCAGCTTTTCTTGGCATGAAGAAGGCAAGGGCCATGCCTGAATGGTTTTTGTATCTCCCACAGCGAAGACCAATGTCTTGCCCACCGTAGATTCTCAATACATACTTACATGATCAATGGGATGTCCTTTTCAGGGCAGATTAGAATGGTCCTGTCTCGGGACAGGTGTCTCAGTTGGTGGCCTTCAACCTAGCTTGTAGACTTAACTGTGCAAGAATAGACCACAGGAAATGGGGCAGCTGAGGATGGGGGAGCAGATTGGAAGGAGTTGGGGTGGAATTTTTTCCCGACCCCAGCTGGTGATCAGCTTATGCTCTAAAGCAGAAGGATTAATAACCAGGGTAATTTTATCCCAGTCAGAATGTAACTACAGATGTGGGCTTATTGGGTGAAACAGCTAATCCCTTCTCCATTTGGCTCACTTGTGAAATACGATGAAATACGATGCCTGGGGCTATCAAAGCACGGTTTCCTCCTGGGCCTGCTGCTGCATGCAGCCCCACTCTCGTGGGCGAGAGGACAGCTGTCTGTGGACAGTCGTTTGGGCTCCTGCCTATTGGATGGACTGACTCTGCCACTGACTGACGGTGGAGCGGAAGGGAAGAGGCGTGTGGGTGTGCGTGTGTCTGTGGACTCGGGGAGGGGAGGGTGGAGTTGAAGGAAAATGTCAGGTGTTGGAGCAGGCGGGTGCACGGAGACGCTGGAGGAATAGAAGACTCTTGGAAAAAATCTAAGATTCATTGCAACCCCAAGTCCCGAAGGCCAGAGGGATGGGGAGGCAACAGGAGGAGGGCGTGAGACTCACGGGGCGCACCTGGGTTTACACGTGGCCCAGATCGGAGCCAGCAGGCCTCGGGTGCTGGCCTCGGGAATTTGTAGCATGATCATAGTGGGAGGCTCTAAAGCCAGGAGAACTCAATTAATCAAAGAGCTGCTGCTGATGGAGCAAAGATGAAAGCGTTTCCAGGCGAGCCAGTGAAACGCTTGGAGGTTTTCCCCGGGCAACCACCCTGGGGCGAGTAACAGGAGATGCGGTGGGTGCTGAGGTCTGGGAATCCAGTGCCGCACCGGGAGGGAGGTACGCAGGGAGACTCGTGGGGCTTGAGGACGGGCGGAGGGAGCCCTGAGCCGTCCCGAGGCCCAGCGCGGAGACCTCGAGAAGGGGCGTGGCCCCTGAGCTGTCCGGAGGCCTAGCGCGGGGAATCCGGAAGGGGAGTGGCCCCCTGAGCAGTCAGGAGGCCGAGCCCTGGGACTCGCGAAGGGGCGTGGCCCTCTCCGAGCTGGCGCCTGGGAGGCTCCCACCTGCCAGCGGTTGCACGTGGCCGCCTGCCCCCATCCCCCCGCTTCCCTGGGCTGGTCTCTGCGCCCAGTGTCCTGCCATGCGTGGCCAGCCTTGCTGCTCATCCCCCGGGGTTGGCCGGGTGGTCGCCTCCCGCACGTCCCCGACTCCCCGACGCCTCTCCGCGGGGTGCGCCCGGGGCACTGGAAGCCTGGATCACTTACGCCGAACGTCCTGGGCCCGGGCTCTACGTTCCCCGCTTCTTCTTCGCCCCTCTCGTCTTTTCCGTCCCAGGCTGATGAAGCAGGCGAGGTTAAAGCTTAGTTCCAGACACTTTAAGAAATGTTCTGGGGTTCTTGGAAGTTGTTTAGGAAAATCAGAGTGCCTGGCGTCCCCATGCAACGCTCCCGAACTGGAGACGGCATCTGGCTGAGGGGTCGTGGTGGGCGGGCGGAAAGGCAAGAATGACCAGGGGCTTTAAATAAAATCTTTCTCATTTTTCCCTTTCCCTTTCCCTGTGACCTTGCGTCCATAATTAATCCTCCCACTGTCCCCACCCCAGAAGCCCAAAGAATGGGGAGACTAAAGCTCCTTATCCCAGAGGGCTAGGTGGACCCCCGGAATCCCCTGGCTCAGCCTGGGAGCCCAGGCAGGGCTGCACAGAGAAGGATTTTGTCTCCAGGGCAGGCTTCAGGGTTGGGAGGCGCACATCCCCATGGCAACGAGTTCTTCCCGTGGGAATAAGAAACTCCCGAATGTGGAGCAAATTGGAAAGGCACCTTCCACGCGCCAGCTGGGACTGCAGGCAGGGTAAGGGGAGGTGATCTGCAGCGGGTGGGGATGGGGAGGCACAGCTGATCCCAACCCGCGACTCCGAGCATGGCGCCAGAGCTGTGCGTGTTGCCTCTGAGTCAGATGGCCACACATGCTGGACACGTGACATGACATGCTCTCCGATGGCTGCCAGTTGGCAGATGTGTTTGCTAACTTGCTTAGAACAGCCACTGCCAAGTACTGGCCTGGCTAAGTGGGACAGTTCCCTTCTGTGGGTCTGTTCCAACCTCCCCTTGGTGGTGAGACCAATAGCTCCTGTTGGGAGAACGAGTCTGAACTATGGAATTCAGTTCTCTCGCGCTGAGGTCATTGATTTCTATTACAATTTTTTTTCAAGTCTCAAAAATTTTAAAGTCACAAGTTATGTATATATCCAATTCAGAAAGGTGTAAAGAAAAGGAAAGTGATCCACAACCCCCAATCCTTCTTCCTAGACATAACCATTGTTAACATTTTGTTGTCATCCTTCCAGATTCTTCATGTGCACCTGTAGCTATATG